ATATATACCTCCACTTCATTTTTGTCCCATAATAGAAATTTTTTGGGAAGTTTATTTTTTCATTCCCTGCTGCCATTTCAGTCCTTGCTCCTTTTTTTAAACCAGATAATCCTTTTACCAAATTTTTAAAAGCCTCGATAAGTTCTCCAATTTTATCAGTTGCCTTAATTTCATCCAAATCGATTTTTATATCTTAGGTTAAAGATTTTTTCGTCGCATTAGAGTTTATACTTTTCGCATACTCTATTAATTTTGTTAAAGGCCTAATTATTTTATTCGAATATAAACACCCACACCCAATAGCAATTGAGCAAGTAAATAAGATAGTACCTTATATATATATTATAATTAAATATTTATAAAAAATAATTCATACCTATAGCTAAATATTAAATATTTAAATAAGTATCAAACATTTTATTAGTAAGATCATATAAAAATCTATATGCTTCTTTTTCTGGTACTTAAACAATAAGAATATAATTTTGTCCTTTTATTTATTCTTCAATAAAATTTCTCATAATAAGTATAAGCTCTCCTTCCGAATTAGTAATTTTAAGCATTTCAGATGTATCATTATTCTTTTTATATGAAATTTTATTTTCCCAATCTTCCAATGTAAATTTTGTCAATTATGTATCATAAATTTTATAAATTGTTTTAGCTTAATAAGGATCATTTAATATTTCCCCATTATCCGAATTTACAAGCATTAAAAAACCACTATCATAAAATTTTACTCTATCGATGATTGACTATAAATCTTTAATTTACATATCTATAGAAGCAACCCCTCTCAATTATTATTTATTATTTATTATAGCTTGACTTATTGTTAAAGTTTTTTATTATGTTACCGCATCTAAATAAGGGCCTGTTAATACCATGGTACTTTATTTATATTTCTTTTAAAAATAAAAAAAAAATTGCATTTTTTTAAATTACATTGAAATTATTTATAGTTTCATTATACCATGGAGTAGTTTTATAATCATAATTATCATATGTAACACCTTTATTAATACCTCCTATTAATTAGAAATAAAAATTAATGTATAAATATATAAATATAATAATATATGAATATATAAATATATAAATATAAAATATATATATATATATATATATATATATAATATAACCTGGGTACCAAATTGAAATTTAATCATCATTATTAAAAACCAGATATATATATTATATATATGTAATATTTTTATCATAAAATATATCTTCCAAAATATAATTTAATACATCACATGCTTCTAATATTTTTTTAGAATCATTACCTAATTAATTATACTCTTTTATTTTAGCACTTTATGAATATGCTCCCCATTAAAAATATTTAAATGTTATTTAATCTCCTCTATATTCATTTAATGCTACTTCGCTTTTATCTATATCATTTTCAGGAATGCTTTCAAATACATTTATATATTTACCTAATCCTTTTATTGGAAATTCGTTTACTTTTGAAAAGTCAAACAATTTATCATCTTCTTTCATTGCCGATAGAACAATCTTTATATTTTTTTTTAAAAAAAATTTATATTTATAAATAATACTCTTGATATTATTTCTAATTTCGATGAAAATCCATGAAAAATTTCTAAAATGGCATTTGAGTATTCCTTAACTGAATTTTAGAGATTTTCATTTATTTATTAATGAATAGCATCTTCAGAAGATTTTTTTATTAAATATCTTATATTAATTAATAAATATATAATTTACAATTAAAATTCTAATTTTTTAAATAAATACCTTGATAAAAATATATTTCCTATTACAATCAAAATAACTATTAAAAATACGGAACAAGATAAAACCATTAAAGAAACAATCATTTGTCTTTTAATTGTCCAATTTTTTTTTATTCGAACACAGCAAACTTTATTAATACTTTTTTAACCATATATATCTTACAATAAAAACATGTCCAATAATTTATATTTCTTAGATAAATATTATTTATTTATAGAATTTGGTGAATAATTATCATGATAATCTGAGTCGCTGCAATTCGCGAGATCATCAACTTCGCTTATTATTGTACCCTCGTTATTACTTTAAATTTATTCTTAATTTATGCAATTTTATTAATTATTTTAATCAATATCATATTGAACGTTCATTTTTTTTTTAAAAAAAGTTTAATTTTAATATAAGTATATTTGAGAATTCAAAAATTATATTATTAATAAATATTAAAAAAAAAAATTATTCAATAATTATTTAATAATATTTATGTTTTTTATAATAAGAATAAAAAAATTTAAAAAAATTAATACATATATAAATTAAAAAAAAAAAAATTTTATCAATACTAATTAAAATTATAATTTATATGAAATATTTTATGAATATGCTATAAAAAAAAAAATTTGCAAAAAATAAATTTATAAAATATATATATAAATATAAATAAATAATAAAAATATATGATTTATGTATCTACAAAAAATAAATTAAGAAATAGTATATAAGTATATACTATAAAAAAGAAAGCAGTGTCAGATCGATATAATAGAGCGATAAGCTCGACAGTTAATGAGTATGTAATCCCTCCACCACAATAAGCGGCGCTGTTTCCCTGTTCTGTTTCCAGCCTGAGGCATCGCAACTCTTTAAAACCCTGCCAACCAATATTGCTATTTGGTTACCATAGTTACTCATTGTTTAGAGTGGGCACACTCTTAGCAAACTGTCTCATCGAACTCTCATACCCTATTAATACCAACCTACACTGTTTATGCTACAAATGTTATAGGCATTGCTGCCCTAGCAATATATAATAGTTTTTGTTAATTTATATATTTGTTTTTATTATTATTTCATAAATTATGGGTTTTAAATATTTTATAAATTTTTTAATAATTAATGTTATATATATTATATAATTAATTATATGACTTATTATATAATTAATATAAATATTTTTTTATTTTAATAATTAATTAAAATATTTATATATTTGTATTTTATATAAACATTATTTATTTTTATTTATATAATTTTTATAAGAAATTTTATTTCTGAAATATATTAAAATAATTTTTTACTAATTTATATATTGAAAATAAATATTTATACATAAATTATTCAATAATCTTGTTTTCCTATAAACATTAATAAAACTTTATTCTATATTATTCAAATTTATATAAAAAAATAAAATGACTAATAATAGTATTTTTTTTATTATGTTATTTTTATATATATATATTTATTTAACAAAAAATATAATAAATTTATATTTATTTATATTATAAAAAGAATTTTTAATATTAAAAAAAAAAAAATATTTTATTTATAACTTTAATAATATTTTAAAGATTTTTTAAAAAGATTTATAATTTTTAAATTTAATATATATTTTAATTTAGTATTAATTTAATATCAAATTATTATATATTATATATAAGTTAACAAAAATATATAATTAAAAGTAATAAATGATTGTAATAAAAAAAATATAAACTTATATGAATAAATATTTTAACAAAAAACAAACTGAAATAAACTAAATTATTTAGAATATATAAAAAAAACAATCAATAAATGATTTTTATTATAATTATAAAAAATTTATTTGAATTTCGAGAAATTCTTTAAACTTTCTTTGAGTAAGTTATTTGCTAAAATAGGAAAATATATTACTTATTTTGCTTATTTTTATCTTTTTGTGGTTATAAGTTATTGTTATTAATTTATTATTCTAAAATATAACGATGGAAATTGATATATTCCAAAAAATAATTTGATTTTATAAATTATGATTTGACAGTAATGCTGATTAGTACTTTTTTAAATATGTAATATGTATATATATATATTTACATATCTTTTTAATATATTTTTTTTTAATTTTATTTATTATTTATTTGGTATTTAATTACGCTCCCATCATTATAACTATTTGTATCCATTTGTTTGTTTTGACTAGTCTAATACTTAAAGTTAAAGACTCGAAAAAATAACATAAAAACTATTATTAAGTGAAGAAATAGGGCTATAAATATTTAAAATTAAAGAATATAATGTAAAAAATATTAATAATTATATATTTATAACTAAATATAGGTTTTTGTACTATAAAATTTTAATTTAAAATATAATTATTAATATTTCAAAAAAATTTCGGAGATATAAAAAGGATTTAAACTTTAAGTTTTATTATTTATATATATATATATATATTTAGTTTATTTTATATAATTAATATTTAATTATTGTTTTTGGTCTATTTATTTTAATATTATTAGTATTAGATATTATAATATATTTATGTGTATTTATAATTTATATTAGCTTATATATAAACATGTTTTTTACTAATTTTCACCGCTTTTTGTAATATAGATATTGTTATTAAGTTAAAAAAAGGAAATTCTAATTAAAATAAGGAAAATTATAAATATTATAAGGAGAAAGGCAAATTTGTGATTATTTTTATAGGTTTAAATGATATTTTTTTATCTTATTTTTTATTTACGCTGAATATTTTAAATAATTATTTTATATATTTTTATCTGAAAAACAATAACATAAGATAAAAGAGATTTAAAGAAAATTAAATATTTTTTAATAAGTAAATTAAGATTTTTATAATTTCAAAAAAAAAAATCAATTGAAAGTGAAAGTTCTTTAAAATATGCTTGGGGTTCTTTAACTGATTTATAATAAAATTACATTTTATATCAAGATTATTTATTTGAAATATAAAATAAAAACTAAGATACTATTTAAGGCGACTAATTTTTACCTAAAAAATCATCTTTTTTTATTCATATACTCCTTGTTTTAATGCTGATAAATAATATCATATTTTTTTTTAGGGAACAATTATATATTAATGTCTCTTTTTTTTTTAATTATTTTTACTATTAATATTTTTAAATAAATATAATAATAAAAAGGAAAAAAATATTTTATATATAAAAAAGAAAAAATATAAAAATATAAAATAAAAAAAAAAATAGGAAAAAAATAATTATAAAATGCTTTCAAAAATATTAAAACTAAAATATTCCACAGGTCCAGGACTTTCTCAATTAAAATAATAATTAACGGCTCCCATAAAGCATATAAAACGTACATTAGAGCCCACTGGTTAAAACTATTCCCGTTTGACAAATACTACCGAAGAAGCTTTCGATGAAGTTGCCCATGAATGGCAAGCCTTAGTAGCCCATAATCCATTCGACATAAACGTATTTAATTACTTAGAAAACACCTAATCTTCTAACTTTGGTACTGTAGATAATCCTTTAGTAGTTTTTACATCAGAAACGCCTTTTAGATATGTCGGATGTACAGGATAGATGAATGAAGATGATTACGAAGGACACGAATTGATGTATTTTATGTTAAGAGAAGGTCCTATGTAGAGATGTATGGGATGTGGGCAGGTATTTAAATTAGTAAGACTTAGAAATGAATTTTCACCGGAAATGGATTATTATTTATCGAATTTTCACCCTTATGACTCTATAGAAATGGGAGAAAGTGATACTACTGTAATGATGAGTCCTTGGAAATATTCAAGCCATTATGAGTATTCTTAATTCGAGACTCCTTCGAATAATGTATATTCGATGATTAATCCAGATGAACATGATAGAATTTTAGTAGATCCTGCTTTTAGGTTAGAAAGAACAAAAAAATTAGAGGAAAAACTAAAAGTTTATACAGGCAGTTTGAGGGAAGTGGAGAGGAAATTCGAAGAAAAATACGGATAAGGAGTGAATTTAATCCCTTTATCAAAGACTACTTACGAAACTATGATTGACGTTGAATTAGCGATAAAAAAATTAGATAGAAATTTCAGGAAAGTAGCTAGATTTTAAAATAGATAGTTTTTAGACAGGGAAAATCATGAGAGAAGGGAAAAGAGAATGAAAGAAAAAGAAAGGGAAAGATGGGATGAAAATTATGCGTTTTATACTGGAAATTTAACTGAGGAAGAATAAAAATATAGAGATTATTATATGACTGAGTTAGAAAATTACCCAGAAGATGAAGTTTAGGAAGGACTTTTAGATAAATAGGAAATTTTATAATAAGAAGGAAGATATAAATTAAGCAAATATGATTTTTAAGAATAATATACTAGAAATGCAGAAGATGATTAAAGCTCTAGTTTATAAAAGAAAATATTTAGCTTCAAATATAGAATGGCTGCGGATTCTTTGGAAGATTTCTAAAGGAAAAATACCAGAATGATTCAGAGATAAATTGAAAGATACGATAAAAATTAAGAATATATGGGAGTTTTATAAGCTTTAGCGAATAGGTCGTTGGATAAAAACTGGAATGGAGTATAAGATGGATTAGATATGAAATATCTAGATATAGTAGTGTAAGAAAGTGCTCTTTTGCATAATGATTATTATGAAAGTGAAGGTGAAGATATGAAAATTAATATAGAAAATGTGTCTAGTGTAGAAAAATAGGCTTTAGTATCCAATTATGAGAATTTCTTGGCTCCAAAAATAAATTAAGGAAGCTTTTAGTTGATTCCGAAAAGATAATGGGAAAATGCGTTTGGAGTTTGGGAAAATATGGTGATGGAATTATAGGATTATTAATAAGTTATTTAACCTAAATCTAGTTAATTTGCTGTATAATATTAGATTTAATAATAAATGCCTTTAGGTAAGTAAGAATTAGTTGAAGCAGGGCTTTTAGTTGATGAGAAAAATAAAGAAAATTGAAGATATTTATTCTGTCTTTTTTTTATTTTTTTAATAATGATATTAATATTATTTAGTTTTTTAGAATTGTTTGTTTTTTTTTTTTGGGATTTTTTTTTTTTATAAATGTAATTTTTTTTTTTTTAATAAAAAATTATAATATATATATATTGATTAATAATATGTATATTATTTTAGTTTTAAAGATAAAAAAATAATTTTTTCATTTATTATATAATAATTAGGAAATTTGTTGTATATACAATAAAAATAATAATTAAATTTTATAAAAAATTAAGAAAAATTATATTTATTTCAATTTAAAATGAAGTAATTTATATAAAATATTTAAAATAAAGTAAATAATAAATTATAAATTTTTGTATTTTTTTAATACGAAAAAAAATAACAAATAAAATTAATAAAAAAAAATTAAATATATATATAAAATCAACAACTTAAAAATATATGTAATTCCAATCATAATTTTATTAAAATAGATATTAAATATAAATATAAATATAAATATAAATATAAATATATATATATATATATATTTATATTTATATTAAAATATATACAAAAAGCTTATATTATATATTTTATTTGTCAGCAAATTACTAAATTATTTATATTAACTAGGTTTTAGTTAATTATGAAGAATATTTTATTATAATTATATAAAGTTTATTATATAATTTATGAATAAGTGATAATTTTTTTAAGAATATAAACTAAAATTTTTTTTTTTATATTTAAAATAATATTATTCATAAATTAATAGGAACTAATTATTTAAACGAATTAGAATAAATTTTTTTTTGTTTTAGATATTAATAGTTGTTATTTAAAAAAGATAAATTAATAAGCAAATCAATATTGAAATTATGAATTTGGGATCTAATTATTAAAAGAAGAATTATTAAGTAAGATTTATATAGAAATTTATAATAATTATTACAATTAAAATGTAAATAATATTAAATAAATTCTTTAAAAAATATTAGATTTTATCAAAAACTTATACTATAAATAACTTTTAAAGCATTATAGATACATTAGATATAGAGTATAAATAATACAAAATATAAGTATATAATACTCCTTTCTGTACTTTAGATTTTAAAAAGCACTTATAGATTTTAAGGAGATTATACTATCCTTTTATATTAAAATTTACTGAAAATATACGAAGATAAATCTAATATTTTTTGTTTTTTCGAGTTATTAGATAGAATACAGCTTTTTAGAAAATTTTAAGGGCTTTTAAAATGATTTTTAGAGGAAAAATAAGGACTTGAATTATATGTATATAAAATAAAAAATATACTTAGAGATATTAAAATCGGAAATATTGTTACTTAAAATTCTAAATAGGTTATTGATATGTTGTGTTTTTGTTAATTTAATTTTCGTTGAATTATTACAAAAAAATCAATTGGCATTACTCCAAAATGTTCTTTTCCAAAAAAACTTAAGTTTTTTGGATATTATGATGCCCTGATATGCTATAATAAAAGGTAATAAAAGAATCTATGAACATAAAATATATTTATATAATCCCGGTTGTGTATTATTTTATTTCTTCTTTTTTTTATTATCTATCTGATCAATATGGTGATATATTTACTACTTAATGTAATTTCAGTAGTTCTGGGATAGAATTAGTCAAAATTATATTAGAAAAAAATATTGTATAGAGGATAGAGTTAGTTTTCTAGAAAATCATACGTGATTTGTGAATATGAAAAAGGGCAAAAATATAATTAAATTTTTGAGACAATAATAAATGTATATTTACATAAAAACTTACATAATTAAACTTTTTATCAATGACTTTTTTTATATATATAAAATTTTAATTAATATATATTATTAATAAAAAATTAAATATAATATTTATAAATATTAAAATATATTAAAAAATGGAATACAATGATGATGAATTCAATTACCTCAATTATTTAGAAAATTTATAGGATGAATATTAAGATTAAATTATATATGAAGATATTTAAAATCTAAATGAAAATAAATAAATGAGTATATATAAAAATATATATCTATAGATATGTATATGAATATATATATTTAGATAAATTAGGATAAATTAATAAATAATATATATGTAGTAATAGTTAATTATATATGGAATAATTTTAAGGGGAAATATAATATATATAAAATCAATTGGGAATTAATTCAGGAAAGGCTTTATAATTATTAATAGAATGCAGATATAATACTAATTAAACTTTAGTACCTAATGACAAGTAAATTTAGGATATTTTTATATTCCAGAATGGATAAAAAATATAGGATGTTTAATTTGTTTTTAAGATAATTAAAATTAATGTTTGGCTTATAATGTAATCATATGTTTTGTAAAAATTGCTGGAATTAGTTTATTTTGGAATAAATAAGTTAAGGTTTTTAGAAAATATTAATTCCATGTCTAATGGATGGTTGCAATATAACCTATATAATATAAATAATGTATTTATAATATAATAAATTTAAAAATAATAAAAAATTGTAATTATTATATATTAATACATAGACAAATATTTATTAATGTATATAGAATATAATTAAATAGTAATCAATTTATATAATTTATATAATTATATATAATTTATATAATATATATATATATTTATATAATTTATATATATAATATATATATATATATATTTATCTTTTATAGTAAAAATTAGGTTTAGACCTTATATAATCTTTAATTCCTAAAAAAATATTTTAAAAATATATCAATTATTTAATAAAAAATATTAGTTTAAATAGTGATCATGTATAAATAATTTAAATTATTAAAATAATAATTATAATAGGTTATATAATGTCCTGGTTTAGATTGCAGTTTTTTGATAATTTTAAATGAAAATAAAATTTCATATTTTATTGATTAAAAAGTAAATATAATATGTGATTGTGGGAAAATTTTTTGTTCTAAAGTTATTTTAAATAAAATAAAATATTATATTATATATATATATACATATATATAATATTAGTGTAAAGAAGATACACATATACCTATAGATTGTGAAAAAAATAAAGACTGGAATATTCTTTTAAGTGGTGGAGCTTCTAATTTAAACGATATATGGATAAAATTAAATACTAAAAAATGTCCTAAATGTTTAGTTATTATTGAAAAGAATTAAGGGTGTATGCATATGACATGTAAAAATTGTAAATATGAATTTTGTTGGATTTGTTTTAAATATTAAACAACGGCTCATACCTGTAACGTTCCTATAAAACTTTCTGAATAAATAATTTAATAAAAAAATAAATAAGAGTTGGAAATGTATAATTTTTATTCAACAAGATATATTGAACATTTAAAAAGTGTTAAATTTGCTCAATAAAAAAAAGAAAAATATATTTAATTAATATAAAAAAGATAAAATGATTAAGCTTACATATTTAATAATTAATATCTAGAGCCTGCT